TGCTCAAAGTCTGTGGTTAATCATGGATTCTAGATGCTCCCGAGTGTCCGAACATTCTCTTTAGAGGCATGCTGTAAACGTAAGAGTGGACAGGTGACCAAGAAGCTTTGTTTCTGTGTGTCCTGTGAGGCTTGGTTTTCTCCTTTCATTACTTTCTTTAATGTCACTGATCCTGGTAGAGAGTCACTGCTACACAGAGCTGTACTCCGCACCAAACTGCCACCTCCCCGTGAGTTCAACTGTGCTCACGTGCAGAGGATTCCTTCAGCTGGGCTCACTGACGACCAACTCTCCCTTCTACGGAGAGAGATGGAGAGGGCTAGGCGACCATAGCTGGAGTATCTAACCGCTACTCCCAACCAAGTGTATACAGTTCTGCCTTAATTGCATGTGGCGTCAGGGAGGGACAAGCAGTATATAGGACTGGGAAGGGGGCTCCATCTAGGTGGCCACAGAGGAGTTGTCATCCCCACTGGGTGCAGACCTCCCAGTATGGCTGTTTTAAGGCCACCCGTGCTCCTGCCTATAACCCCACACATTGCTCTGCAAGTATGCTCAATTAACGCGTTGCTTCCTCATAGTGAATGCTGGCGGAATTGCACCTTATTAGTTTGTCATTGGGATCTTTGGAGGAGGAGTGGACATTGTTTAATCTCCTCCAGGGGAGGAATTTTACCAACAGCCATACTGACCCTTAAATAAGGCGCTTAGGATCACTTCCCTTGATTTTTATAAAGTAGGTCCAGCTGTGGGATGACTTTAGAGTGTAAGATTTTATCTTTTGGCTAATTTCCTCTCTCTGTGTTGAGGCCAGACAGTATTACAGTAAAATATTAACCTCTGTTGTTTTTGTTTTATTTTAGCTACCCAGGACCAGACTTATCCTAACTCTTGAGGCTTTGTAGTAGCTTGGAGTCCAAGGAAATAGAAGGCAGATTTCCCATAATGATTGATATAAAGGCAGACTTCCCGTAATGATATAAAGGCAGACTTCCCATAATGATATAAAGGCAGACTTCCCGTCATGATCCTAAGGGGACAGAGGTCAGTGCTAGAAGAGTATCTAGAGGGGAATGGAGAGGAGCATCCCCTCTGCCTACGCCAGGCCCTCAGAGAGACCCAGCAGGATGCCCTGCTTTCTGTCAACACTCTATCCCTAAGCATCTGTGGAGGCACACATGAGTATAGCCACAAAAGAATTGAAAACACCAATTTGGTGAACTAGAGAAATGGCTCAGTAGTTTAGAGCACTTGTTGCTCTTGCAGGGGACCAGGGTTGGATTCTCAGCACCTATGGTGGCTCACAACCTTCCATAGCTATAGTTGTCTCCACAGACCAGGTATGCACATGGTACACATATATACATGCAGGCAAAACACTAATACATAGGAAATAAAATGAATTAATTTTTTTAAAGATAGAAAGAAAACACTCTCTGTGTTCCAAATGCTCTTGGACTTACTTTCCTCCAGCCAAGATATTTTGTATGTATGTGGGAGGGTGCGTAACAAAATTTTTATTAAATCTTTGAGTTTCATACAAAATTCATCTTGAACATAGACAACCCTCTCCCACTCATCCCATAACTACCTTCTCTACCCTCCCACCCAACTTCGAGATATTTTTTTCAAGTTAGATTTCTATTGCTGTATTAAGACCATGGCCAAAAGCGATGGGGGAAGGAAAGGGTTTAAAGGCTTACACTTCCACATCAAGGCCCATCATTAAAGGAAGTGAGGGCAGGAACTGAAGCAGAGGCAGTGGAGGAACAATGCTTACTGGCTTCCTCCCTGTGGCTTGCTCAGCCTGCTTTCTTATATAATCCAGGACCACCTGCCTAGGAATGGCACCACCCACGTAAACTGGATCCTCCACCAATCATTAACCCCCCCCCAAAATGCCACACAGACTTGTTTACTGGCATTGTTTACTGTGCTTCCTCCTAACTCTGTGTGGGTCAGGTTGATGAAAAAACCAGCAAAGATTCTCTCTCTCTCTCTCTCTCTCTCTCTTTCTCTCTCCCTTCCTTCCTCTCTCCCCCCTCCCTTCCTCCCTTTCTCTTTTTCCCTCTCTCTCCCTCCCTGCCCCTTTTCCCCATGGAGCTCGGTGTGTGTTGCCCAGCTAGTCTTGGGAATGGGGCCTGCTTTGGTGCGGTCGACTTACCAGGGGTCACATCATTAAAGAACGGACTCTCCTCATGCAGCAGCTGTCAGTGCCTGGAACGCTTCAGCTAGTGGAGGAATTTCATGGCAGCTTTACACCCCACCCCACCCCATGTTGTAATTTCGTCTGGCTGGACCTTGAGAAGATCTTGTACGTGCTGTCACAATTGCTGAGTTCGTAGGTGCAGCTGCCCTGTTGTGTCTGGAAAACACTGTCTCCTTGATGTTATCAACCACTTTTGACTCGGTTACCATCTTCCCACCTCCTCCTTCCATGAAGACTCCTGAGCTTTGGAAGTAGGGATATGATACACATGTCCCATTTAGCCCTAGGCACTCCACAGTTTCTTGTTCTCTGCACACTGAGCAGTTAAGGGTCTCTGTGTTAATTGCCATCACTGCAAAGGGAAGCTTCTCTGATGAAGGTTGAGAGATGCTCTGATCTGTGGGTATACCAATATGTTTTAATTCTAGCAGAATAATAGTATTAGGTTCCCTAAGGCCTGTGACCTATTTAGCCTCAGGTTCTTAGTCCCTTAAGCAGTGTTAGTTGTGGCTTCCATCTCACAGTGTGGGCTTTAGAACTAATCAGAAAGTGGTTGGTCACTCCCGAAGCATCTCTGTCACTATTGCACCAGCAGGTGTATCTTGTCAGGCCAGTCATTCATTGTAGCTTGTGGGATTCACAACTGGATGAGAAGGATGGTTATTTTTCTCCTTTGAAAGCAAGCATCCCCCTTCCAGTTGAGTACCAACTTGAGTTTTCCATATTCTGTGGCTCAAGTACGTAGTATCTTCAGCAATAGGTTTTAATGTCAAGTTCTGGAATGTAACCACGGTCATTGGCAATAGCCTATAATGAATGTTTTGGGGTCTATGTGACCCCATTGCTGAACAAGATTTAAACTATACCACAGTTGCCTCTTTCTCTCTGAAGATAAATCCTCAGTGGAATAAGATTTCTACCCTAAGAAGCTCTTAAAAAAAAAAAAACAATAAGATGAAACAATTCTGAACTGTGAGGCTATAAGTTTAGACAAGCTATGACTTGGTGTATAAATGGCTTTGGCCCTTTTAATTTTATTTAGTTATTTAGCATTTATTTTATTTTATGTGCATTGGTATTTTGCCTACAAGTTTGCCTGTGTGAGGGTGTCAGATTCCTGGAAATTGAGTTACAGACAGTTATGAGCTGTCATGTGGGTGTTGAAAAGTTAACCCTGGTCCTCTGGAAGAGCAGCCAGTGCTCTTAACCACTGAGCCATCTCTCCACCCCCTGGTCTCTTTATTTTAAATGGCCACACAGATTAGAACTGTAGGTGGGTTGAGGTTTTTTCTTTGCATTTGATGCTCAGGAGAAATGCCTTATTACAGAGGAATCATTTCCACAGCTATAGAGGCAAGTCTGTTCAGAGTAAATGAGCATCAAAGAATTGAGGGCAGTTAGGATATAATAGAGCAAAAGGGAATGAACTTATCCAAGACATCCTCCTTCCAGCAGAGAACACACTTAGCCTGGCTTCTATCATTTTAGACTGTGCTCCTGTGATGTCTCTCTTTAACCTTTGAGTTCATTGGTTTAGGATCCCAGACTTCGAGCCCTTGCCTCCTTTACTGTTATTATAATTATGTGTGTGCCACTCTATGTTCATGGAGGTCGGAGGACAACTTTCAGGAATCATTTCTCTCCGTCCACTATGTGGTTCCTGAGGATTGAACTCAGAAGGTCAGGTTTGACTGCAAATGCCCTTGCCCACTGTGTCAACTCCCCAGCCTGTGGACATCTTTTAAAAATTAAATCTTTGGAAAGATAACATTGCTTATCACTGTGTGTCAAGCAGCGACCCCAACTCACTGCCTGTCTTGCAGGAGGAGCCTCATTCCCCACCAGAGGAATGATTCTTGCTTGTTCTCTGGCTGGCCGGGAGACTGTTGAGCCTGAGGTTTCTCTTGCCCCTAGGAAGCTGCTCTAGTTAAGGAAGGGAATATAGAGCAGAAGCAGTTGTAGCCTGGGCTCCATGCTCTTGTTTTGTCTGGTCTGCTTGATGTTGGGTTATGTGTAGTCATGATGATAGTGATGGTTCTAATGGAGATGATAGTGATGGTAATCATGATGGTGTTGGTGGTAATGACGATGGTGTGGTGATGATGATGGTCATGATGGTGCTGGTAACAATGATTATAATGATGTTGGTGATGATGGTGATGGTGATGATGATGGTTTTGGTGGTAATGAGATGATGGTGGTAATGGTCATAATGGTGGTGGTGATGATGATAGTGATTGTAATGATGGTGGTAATGATAGCGATAGTGGTGATGGTAATGGTGATGGTCATGATGATGGTAATAGTGGTGATCGATGATTGTGGTGATTGCTCTCCCTTGACCAATCAGTCTGGGAAATTTTGGATATACAAAACTCAACAGGGGAATAACTTGAGATAAGATTAATATTAGGCTTTAATGGATCCCCCATTAAGCAAGAACTCCCCATGGTCTCATCTTCCCCTACATATATACCTGTGAATGTATGTGAACCACAGCAGGCCATTCCTGCTACCAAAGTTAAACACACTCCCAAAAAATGCAGTTCATTATGTTGTCTTACCTAAATAGATACCGGTATCACATTGTCTGGCTCATGTCCTTGACGGTGCAGTGTGGGTGAACACTGGAACATTGTCTGCGGTATTTTTGACAGTGCAGTGTGGGTTAACACTGGAACATTGTCTGCCGTGTCCCTGACAGTGCAGTGTGGGTGAACACTGGAATATTGTCTGGCTCGTGTCTTTGACAGTGCAGTGTGGGTGAACACTGGCTTTTCTTTCTCCACAGAACATTGATATCACCAATTTCAGCAGCAGCTGGAGCGATGGGCTGGCCCTCTGTGCTCTGCTACACACCTACCTGCCTGCCCACATCCCCTACCAGGAGCTGAACAGTCAGGAGAAAGTAAGTCACTGCCTACACCACCTCATTTCTCCTCCAGGAGTGCCAATAGAATTTCTGTAGCAATGCATTTCTGGGAGGGTGGGTGGGTAGTTTGAAAGAAAATGGCCCATAAAATATTATGAGGTGTGGCTTCATTGGAATAAGTGTGGCCGTGAGGGAAGAAGTGTTTACTGTCACTGCAGAGATAAGCTTTGAGGTCTCCTGTGCTCCAGCTTCATACAGTGTAATAAACAATTCACTTCCTGTTGCCTGAGCCTCAAGATGGAGAACTCCCAGCTCTTCTTCAACACCACATCTGCCTGCTTACCACCACACTGCCATGATGATAATGAACTAAACCTTGGAAACTGTAAGCCAGCGCCAATTCAATGTTTTCCTTTAACTGAGTGTGGTGGCACACACCCTTAATCTCAGCAGAAGCCGGTTTCTCTGTTGCTTTGGAGCCTGTCCTGGAACTAGCTCTTATAGACCAGGCTGACCTTGAACTCACAGAGATCAGCCCACCTCTGCCTCCAGAGCTCAGCTGCCCTTCTCAATGCAAGTCATTTGTTACCAAGCAGAACAGTGCGTCTCAGTCCCAAGTATCCTCTACTCTCTGCACATAAGCATTCGCACAAACACATTCTATAAATACATACATACATACACACACACATGTCTGGCTAAATATTTGAATACCAGCCAGGCAGTGATGGCGCATGCGTTTAATCCCTACAGTTGGTAGGTAGAGGCAGGCAGATCTCAGTGAGTTTGAGGCCAGCCTGATCTACAAAGTAAGTTGCAGGACAGACAGAGCGACATAGAGAAACCCTGTCTTGAAAAAAAAATTGAATTCCAGACATAGCCAAGTTATCACAAAAAAAAAAAAATTAGCCCACAGAATATCTTGCAGGACTAGCAGTGTGGCTAACTACAGAGCACTAATCCAGCATGTACCAGACCCTGGGTTCAATTTCTAGCAATGAAAAAGTACTGTTTTCAAAGCATTTCCATGTGGAATGCCTTATAAATTGTGAAAGAGGCTGAGTAAGATCATGTAATGTTTGGGAGAAAAAATATGTAGTGTGTCATGTTGAGTGTGAGGTGTCTAAAATATTCAAGTGTTATATTAGGCAGGCAGACAGCAAATCTGGAGTTCAGATCAGAAATCAAAGCTAGAAGAATGGATGTGGGAGAAATCCATAAAGATTCGTATTATTTGGCAGGACTTCCTGAGATGAAGCAGTCAGTGTTCTGAATTTGCACTGCCCAATAATGTTTGAAGGGCAGCTAGAGAAGGCGTATGAAGCCGTGAAACTGAAGATGAGCCAATTCCCCCGATTTTAAGGGAACCATCTTAAGCAACTTTGATAACTATAGCAAAACACCTGAGACTGTATATGTTGGTAAGAGGTTTTTTAGAGCTTTGAGACGTCCCAAATTGAGGCAGTCTGTTGTTTGGCCTCTCATGAGGATCTCGTAGTGGGTAGTGGGTATCACAGCAGGGAAAGCCTGTGTGGAAGAGGGATGCATGGTGAGGCAGGAAGCCAGAGAGATTCAGAGGCCAACTTTGCTCTTTTTATAATTTGCTCTCACAGGGAGTAATCAGCGTCCCATGGGGACTGCGTTGATCTCAGAGATTAAGATTCCCAGTCACCTGCTTTACCTCCTCCTAAAGGTTCATTTTTAACACGTGTGCTGCTGGCCAAGCTTTCAGCACATGAGCCTTCCGAGACACTCAAGCCCCATCCAAGCACAGGAGAAGTACAGAGAGGACCCAGCAGAGGGAACTAGAGCCAGGTGGAGTGGGGACCGTCAGCCATCACAGAGGCCAAGGGCATAGCAGGGCATCTGATTGTCACCTAGGAACAGTTTTGATTTTCCTCTTCTTTCCTTTCTGGTGCAGTGTTACAAAAATAATTATGTCAATAGTGAACATAACAAATTTCAAAATAATCAGCAGACCTTCCTAAAACGACCACACACATTCTAAAATGTGAGTCTTCCTGAAAGTGACTTGTTTGTCGGTAGTCAACAGGCCTGGCTTCTTTGTCCTCCAGTCAATTCTGTTGGAAAATAATGGGCCTGCGAGTGTTTGCTCTCACAATGTATCATGAGCATTGCTTCCTGGTGACCAAAACCCTGTCTCACTCTGCATCCCTGAGACTCCCGCACCAGGCACCCAGCCAGTTGCCCAGTGGCCTTCTGCAGATGTAGAACTGTACATCAGGGCAGGCTGGCAACAGTATTCTTGTTTCTGTTACTCTTACAGGACAAGAGCCTCTATTTCCCACACATCTGGTTGAGTTTCTTTTTCTGGGTCTCTGGTGATGTCATCAAGAAATGCCAGTGGTGAAGGACCATTATAAGGCAACTAAGGAGTCAACATCATGTGTCAGGAGTGTCATATGCAGACCTGTTTGACTTCACAGCTCCCCTGTCAACTCCAGTTGAGTTTGAGTTCCAGCACCTAGGTCTGTTGGTTACCACTGACGCACTACTCCCTGAATGAATATCTGGTCCCTTCCTGGCTGCACCCTAAGTGGAGAAGCAATGGCTACTGCCTGCACCCTAAGTAGAGAAGCAATGGTTATAGCTCAGGATGTCATGAGAAGGGGTGGGGGTGCACTGAGAAAGGCCAGCTCCGTCCATTACAGAGGAGGATTGTCAAAATGAAGCGTCAGCCAAAGCCCATCGCTACAGCATCAACTGAGCATGTGCGGAGCTTTTAATTAAAGAGTCCCCAGCCTCTTTAATAAGGATAAAAAGACTGACAGTACCACTGGGTAGGCTTTCACAGAAGGAACATGTGTGAGGTTGGGCTTCACAGAGAGCATAACTGCTACAGCCCCTTTGAGGTGAATGAACATGATTCAGACTGCCCTATGGTCTTATGTATGTACTCAATATGAGAGGGTCATCGATTGGGTGGTTGTACCTTGTGGAATAATATCAAGGGTACTAAGGGAAATATAATGTTTGTAAAAATCCATTAAAATTGAAATATAAAAATAATATGTTAAAGGATCTAGGCTCAGTGGTAGAGCCAGTGCTTAGCATCAATGAGGGTCTGGATTTTATCGCCAACGCCAAAGAAAATTAACTAGTTCAGAATTAAAAGTAAGAACTGGGCACAGTGGTGCATGCTTGTAAAGCCAGCACTTAGGAGGTGGGGGCAGGAAGGTCAGGAGTTCAGTGCCAGCCTTTGCTACACAGTAAGGTTAAGGCCAGATAGGGCTACAAGAGGTGGTGTCTCAAATAGGCAAGGATAACTTGTAGTAAAGGAATATTCAATCACAGGGTGTACATCACAGTGACTGGAAGATTTCAGTAAAGTATTTTGTTTTCATTAAAAGGACAGTCTCCATATGTCAGCATATGAAGCTCTTCCATGCAGCCCAGAGTCAGGTTATTGAGTGGAAAGTGATTCTGTTGATATCAGAAATTGAATATGAATATGAATCAGATCCTTTCTCCGTCTTATTAGCAGAAAGATACTGTACCAGTACAGTCCTGCCTGCCAATCTGGAGACCAAGGTCTGTATCAGATGGGAACAGATTATTCTGAGCTAGGAGGTTCAGGCTTACCCCTCCCCACTCCCCCGACCCCCACTGCCCCCCTCCCCCCCACACACAGAGCAGACACTGAAGAATGAATGGCCTCTCACTCTGTCCTCACCTGTATGACAGAGCCTCCACCGAGATAGAGCTCATGGCCGGAGGACATTGACTCTCCTCCCCAGCCTCTTCACTGGGCATCCCTCTTCTGCTCTCTGGCCTCTGCACAGCCGCCACAACAGTGCATAGTGGGAGGGCATTAGGATGATGACCCCTGGTCACTGTTGTCCCGCCTCCATCAAAATGAGCAAACATCATTTTTATGAACAACAACAAAAAAAATCACCCCATTGTATTCCATGCTATGCTGTTTCAGAGGTTTTTGAGGCACTTTTCCAATACAGACCATTTATCCTGTGTTCAGGTTCTTAGAAAACATACTTTCATTTGACCCTGGTAGAGGATCTTAGCAGAATTCTAATTAAAATATTTGATTTAGAAACGCCTTCTCTTTAGACCTTATTAGTAACCCAATAAACAGACTAAAACATCAAAATGCAGTGTTTAGTTTGACACATTTGGCAGGTAAAGATCCACGGGGGACGGGGAGAACATGATTATCGGAGCTGAAGATGGCGTGCCTTTTTAGGAACCAGTTTGGCATTACAATCTCATGAGCCATAAAAACTGTTTGTATCTCAGCTTCCTGAGCAGGGTAACCTAAACACTGGCCTAACCAAAGGGATTTAAAAATAAGAACAAAGGTTCCATTAGCACCAAAACAGGGGTGGTTCCCCTAGTGTGGGCTGGACGGGCCCATTTACCCATTTCTGCTCAGCAGAACAGAGCAGCATCACAGAAACAAGGGGGCGGTTTCCAGCTCTTGTCCATCAATCTCTCCAGGTGTCAAGGAAGAAGGCTGCTGGACTGGGCAATATCACCGTGGCTCCGCTGCTTCCCAGGGTTACATCACAGGCTAGAAGAAAGCATGCATAGGCACGTCTGCTTTTCCTCTGACAGTATTTATACATCAGCAAGTTGACTTCAGTGTCGAGCCGAACCATTTGACCCAGGGCCAGATGCTTAGACGGGGCAGAATGAAGACTATGGGGAAACAGAAAAATAGAAAATTATGAATGTAAAAGGACTTGAACTCCTGGATTCCAGTGATCCTCTTCCCTTAGCCTCCTTACATAGCTGGGGCCACAAATGCATCACAGCTTATGTATAAAATTTAAATACGAGCTGGGCAGCGGTGGCGCATGCCTTTAATCCCAGCACTTGGGAGGCAGAGGCAGGCGGATCTCTGTGAGTTCGAGACCAGCCTGGTGTACAAGAGCTAGTTCCAGGACAGGCTCCAAAGCCACAGAGAAACCCTGTCTCGAAAAACCTAAATAAATAAATAAATAAATAAATAAATAAATAAATAAATTTAAATACGACTGTGGTAAAGTGCTTGCCTAGCATGCATAAGGCCTGGGTTCAATCCCCAGTACTGGGGAAGGAAAAAGAAAGCTAAATGAATCAAATTGTAAAAATATACATAGGACATAAACTGTGACCATGCTTTTTAGTGGTACTTAAAACATCTAGTTAAATTTCTAAAACATAGTGACTTTCATATGAATTATTGAGGCGGATGGCGTGACAAGTAATTTAGGTTATCTGTACAAAGAGATGTCAGACAATAGCCGAGGAGAGTCTGGGAACAAAGCCCAAACTCAGGCTCGGTGATTCTGGGGAACGGTACTGTTCTTGTTCTAAGAGGAAAGTATTTTCAGCCTAGAATTCCCTGTCCAAGAATTCTCTTAATCAAGCATGATAGTAGAAAGAGGATTTTTCTGTATGAACACATCTGGAAATGTTTCTCCTCGACAGCCTTTCTCAAGAATGTTCTCCAGGGAGATGGGGTGTAACCCTACAGTTGATCAGAGGTTTTGGGGGATTCCTGGGGCAGGAAGACTTCTTTGAATAATAGTAATGGCTAAGAGCTTCAGAGTTTGAAAAGGAGAAAGTGAGAAGCAATACAAGGACCAGACCCTCTCTGTCTGGGGACAGAAAAGCAGCAGGCTGCAAGGAGTTAGGGATTTCACACCAGCACCAGGATGAACAAAACAAGCAAAAACCAGATGATGAGGGGCCGTTTCTCTCAGTCAGAGAAGTCACCAAGCAGCATAGACTACAGGGGAAAAGCAAAGAAAGATTGGGATTCAGTCTCGGCAAGCTGTCCTCTGAGTGCCGCAGGCTCACCATGATGTGAGCACACTAACTAAATAGTGCTGTGGGAAGATCACAGTCACCTGGAAGTCACTACAGGAAATAAAGACAAACTAGAAAGCAGTTGTCTTGAGAGTTAGGACCGGGGAAGAAACAGTTTTTCATTTGGTTATATGTAACTACCTTCACGTATGACTTTGGTAGTTTTTTAAAGACTAGGTCTCACTATGTAGCCCTATCTGGCCTCAAACTCATAATCCTCCTGCCTCAGTCAGAAGTGCATCAGTGCCACACCCAGTTTGATTGTCATTTGTGGCATTGTGAAGAAACACAACATGGTGAATATTGTAAATCTTGAAAAGGCCACAAATGAAACTTTGTCTTTCTTCAGATGTCAGTCAGTGTTGTTTTCCCCAGTGGCGGTCGTAACCTGCTACCCTTTCTTTGCCGAGACAGAGCTGGTCTGCACGGTTGACATGCCTCACAGTGGGCAACCTGCAGTGTCCACCCTGTCCCTGCTCTCATCCCTTGTCTTTGTCTTTCTGATACAGAAACGGAATCTCTTGTTGGCATTTGAAGCAGCTGAAAGTGTGGGCATCAAACCCAGTCTGGTATGTATCCTGTTTTGTACCTTTTTGATATTTTTTTCCTAATTCATGAGGAAGAACTTCCTGCTATCCACTAAACTGATAAAGGATACCCAGGTCCGTTTGCAGATCTGTCCCTCAGGAGTCCTAATATGGTTGGAATTCCAGCTGGTCTGAAAGGATGTACGCTCAGGGGTTTGTTTGTCTCTGTTTCCTTATCATTATTATTATTATTATTTATGTTTGTGGGTGTTTTACCTGCTAGTGGTCTGTGTACCCAATGTCTGGTGCCTGTATAGACCAAAAGAGGTTGCTGGATCCCCTAAAACTAGACTTAGAGATGACTGTGAGCTGCCATGTGGATGCTAGGAATCAAACCCAGGTCCTTTGGAAGAGCTACCAATTCTCTTCATTGCTAAGCCATCTATCTCTCTAGCTCTGGACTCAGAGTTCTTGAAATTAAGATTTCATTATGAATAAATTGCACTTTTTTTTTTTTTTTGGTTTTTTCGAGACAGGGTTTTTCTGTGGCTTTGGAGCCTGTCCTGGAACTAGCTCTGTAGACCAGGCTGGTCTCAAACTCACAGAGATCCGCCTGTCTCTGCCTCCCGAGTGCTGGGATTAAAGGCGTGCACCACCATCGCCCGGCCAATAAATTGCACTTCTGACAAAACAGTGAGCTAGATTGTTATTAAAATTCTCTTGTTCAAATCAACATGCAATCTCAGTGAAATGTCTTTTTTAAAGAAATGTCACCAGGGCATTGTGGCACACACTTTTAGCCTTAGCACTTGGGAGGCAGAGACAGGCAGATCTCTATGAGTTCAAAACCAGCCTGGTCTACATGGTGAGTTCCAGGACAGCCATGGCTGCACAAAGGCACCCTGTCTTAAAAAAAAAAAAAAAAAAAAAAAAAAAAAACTACATATCAGAAACATAAAATAAAGTGAAAACTGAAGCTGTGAGTTAAGAATCAGACATTGTGAGAACTGCACCTGCTCCTGGAGAGATGCTGAGGCTTGCCTTGGAGGTGGGGTGGATTAAAAGGCCAGATGAGGTTTGGAACCCAGATTTCTGTCTGGAGCACCTAGCTAAATGGTAGGATGCAGGAAGCACCTATTGTTTAATGGCTACTGAAATATGCACAAGCCAAGAATACAAAGCAGACAGGAAAGGGATTGAGTTTTCTAGCCAACAGGTACACCAAATGAGAGGGGATTACCTGCCAGAACTGGGGTAACAAATGTTAACTGTTTAAACCTAGCAGGCAGGTGAGAGGCACTGGGGAGATGGCTCAGTGGGTAAAGTCCGACTGGACAGGCATGGCAGCATGAGATCTACAGTGCCCTATAAAAAGCCAGGCGTGTAATCCCAGTGCCGGGGGTTCTTGTTGGCTGTGAGCTCCTGTGGGCCTGAGAGCACCTGTCGCCAAAAGTGGAGAGGGACTAAGGAAGACCTGGATGCCAGCTTTGGACCTCGACACACCTGTACACCAACACAAAGCACATGCACACATACTAAAACGTTTAAGAGAACATACATGGTGCTACATATCTAATCCTGGTTTCCTGGAGCTGAGACTTCGCGTGGCTCTTGAAGTCAAGCCCAGCATGTACAACACAGGGACTCCATCCAGCTCCAAAACTGAGAGAGAGAGAGAGAGAGAGAGAGAGAGAGAGAGAGAGAGAGAGAGAGAACAAAGAAGATGAAGAGGAGTAGAAACCAAGGAAACCAGGGAGGGTCATAGTGCTATAAATATAAGGGAGGGAGATTTAGAAAAGACTCACGTCTGTTCCTGGAGCTGTTTGAGTTGGAGCCTCAGCCCTCCCAGCCCTAACAAGCTAAGCTCGACCATCCTCAGGAAGCCAGTTAAACAGATAATCATGAAAGCAGGGAAAAGGGGGATTTATACAATGTCGCCATACTGGGGACATAGAGGCCCCGTGACCCCTACACGAACACTCCCGGTTCATCTTCAGGGCCCTAACAAGAGGCTTAGACTTAGACAGCGTGCAAGAGACATTTAATTAAGCAGTCCTGGCGTGTCCTCCTGCCAGTCAGTACCCATTACTGCCTAGTGTCAGTCTCCCTGCCAGGTGGTCTCACAAGCTGACAGACTTGTACGGATAGTTCACCAAGACCAGCTCCTCCTCCTGCTGCTGGCGCCAGCCTCCATCCTTCCCTTGTCCCAGCAAGAGATTTCTGGAGAAATTACAATTCCTAGGGGATCAATGTTTAAATAGGCCAATATCCAAAGAGACCTGCACAAGGATCTTTTTAGAATATTTTTGTTACCACCAGGAAGGTTACACAAAGCTATTAGAAATGAAAATTTGGAATGGGAGAATAAACCATGGATGGGTTGCCAAACTGGTTAGATATAGCAAAGGAGAAAGATGGTGGATTCACAGTAAACATAAGGAAACCATCCCACAGGCTGAATAGACAATGAAGGGTTGAAAAACAGTAGAGAACGTTTATTGGTTAATGTGTATTTAGTTTCTAGAATGGAAAAGCCAACAAACAGCAAGTTTGAGGCCATTGTAGGTTACATGAAACCCTGTCTCAAAAATAAAATATATGTATATGAGTGGAAAAAAAGAGACAACACTTAGTGGTAACCAATCTGGAATCTACTTCTGGGGTTCTTGTTTACAACAACAATGAAAATCTCATTAAGCAACTGTTAATTGGCTTTCCCGTTCTTGAAGCTTCTTATATAATCTTTCAGTATAACTGGCCAAAGGTTATTAATTACTGTTGTTACTTCAGGATGGTTGTAGCTTTAAAATGCCAAGAGTATTGAGTGTGTGTGTATGTGTGTAGGTGTGTGTGTGTGTGTGTGTGTGTGTGTGTGTGTGTGTAGTGCGAGGCTGGCTTTGATATCACTAAGAGAATGTCCTTGGACTTCTGACCCTCTTGCCTCTGTCTCCTAAGTGCTGTGTTTGTAGACATGTACCACCACACTATGTGTGGCCAAAGTTTTATGTTGTTTTAATCCACATACAATCAGGGAAAAAAGGACAGTCAGGGAAACATAAGCTGAAATAACAGTGAGATGTAAGTCTGTAGCCTTCCAAGATTGGAGGACTTGGAGAAATGTAAAGGGAAGGAGGTGTGGAGACAGCAGCGCTATGAATGATATCATGCCGATACTAAATTGAAACAGAATGGACAGTTAAGTAGCAGCACCAATATCCTTCAAATATCAATTAGACGTTTTCTCTAAACCTTACTCAGAAGTAGAATGCTAAACATTCAAGAAGTAAAATCCAGTGGAGAAAAGTCTCAGCAGGTAGAATGTGCTACTCTTGCAGAGGACTCGAGTTTCGCTCCCAGCGAAACATATTGGGCAGCTCACAGCCATCTGTAACTTCGCTTTCAGGGACTCTGACACCCCTTTTTTTGGCCTCTGCAGTCACCGCACTCTTGTGCAGAAACCTACATTCAAACACACACATATATATACATATTTAAGAAATATTAAAGATAAGTCTTAAAAATAAGGTTTTTTTGAGTATCTGTATCTGTATAAGCACATACACGTTTTAGGGTAAATAGATAAGCAAGGAAGATTCCTTCAAAGTGAAGCTCTGTCGTGTACATCGAGCTTTAGAACACATTCCTGTCCAGCCACCATGAAATGGGCGTCTTAAGCCAACATCATCATCCGTACCAGAAGAATTGGGCAAACATCCGCAGCATCATCGCGATTGCTTCAGAGCAGCTCTGGTGTGTTCTCCAGAGCTAGCCATCTGTGGCTTGGTGAGGGTTCACTGTGGCCTTAGTCACTTAGTCCGTGACGCACCGCTTACTCTGGGACCTGTGTAGGGTAGTCACTGCACAAGACTGAACTCCCGAAAGCAGGAGCTCCAAAAGCCTTGAGAGTCCTGTAAGTGAGGTCAGCCACTTTTTAAAGTTTTACCGTCTTAATCATTCTAAGTGGTGTGAAGTACCTTCACGCTGTGTAGCAATCATTGCCACCCTCCCAGTGTAAAATTCTTATCTTGCAAAATCGAAACTCTGAATCTGTTAAACATTAACTCCCCACCCCCGCCCTCAGCCTGGCCGCCACTGTTCTGTTCTCAGACTCTGAAAGCTCACCTGTTTCAGACACCCCATGTAAGTAAGTGTATTTGCCCGCCGTCTCTGTCTCATGTTTGGCTTATGCGGCATAGTGTAAGGACCTCAAAGTCCATCTGTTAGAACCTCCTTCCTCATTTAGGCAAATGATATGGTTATACCTTGTTCCGCTTGTCTGTTCGTTTGTCCTGAAACACTACAGTGCCACCGTAGTTAAGTTCGTCTCGGCAAATGCTACTGTGAACCTGGGTGCACAAGCGCCTTCTCTCTTTATCGCTAAAGGCCCTTAGAACAGTGCCAGGTCGTAGACTGTTTGTAGCAAGTATGTGCAAAGAAATGAATAAAAGAAGAAGCCATAGACACTACGTAGCAGGAGTATGTGACCAAGAAAAACCACTCATCTCATGACCAAATATCAAAAGAAGAAAAGGAAGGGGTGTGGCTCTCGTCCCAGGATCCTCCAAAGACCAAAGGATGGTTCATTAGGCCCCAACTTTCAAAGTTTCTACAGTTTCTCAAGAATATTGATCTAGAAATGAAAACTTAAGTGTATGTGTCCAGCTGTAGATGAAGCCCTAAGTGCTGTTGTTTAAAGACAATAGGTAGGAAGCTTTAAAACCTTAAATATGAGGCTTTTGGGCTCTGTAGTTGCAATTTATGGCCCTGGCAAAAGACCTGAGTACATTTCACAGAGCCCACACAGAGATAAGCAAACACAGAGATAAGGCCTGACGCCTTCTTCTGGCTGCTATAGGTGCTGCACACACTGTGTACAGACACACATGCGGGCAAATAAATAAGCAGATATTAAAAAAAATAAATATTCAAAACATCAAATACACAGATCAAATAAAATCAAATACATAGTGGTATGATCATGGATTGGCTTCGAACTGTTTCTCTCTCTCTCTGTCTCTCTCTCTCTCTCTCTCGTTTGTTTGTTTTTCGAGACAGGGTTTCTCTGTAGCTTTGGAGCCTGTCCTGGAACTAGCTCTTGTAGACCAGGCTGGCCTCGAACTCACAGACCTCCACCTGCCTCTGCCTCCTGAGTGCCGGGATTAAATGTGTGTGCCATCACTGCCTGGCTCTGTTTCTCATTCTTCATAGGTGACAAAGTGACATGAAGCCAACAGAACCATAGCACTTTGCCCTCTGTGTTCCCTATAGCCTGGGATGGAAGTGCAGTGCATTTAATCCTCACTCGTAAATCCTTTAAACCCATATTTTATCCTGGCCAGGTGTATTTCATCACCCTTATTTTAAGATAAGAAAACCGAGCCCTTGAGAGGCTCGTGAACCAGCTCAACCTCCCTGCTGCTAACAGAGTCCAAACACTTCCCATTATTGTAGGCCGTTTCCCTGTATGAACTAAGNTGAGTAGGGGAAGAAGACATCTCCTAGATTTGATGCTACCTAGAGCTCCTCTTTATCTCCTGTTCAAAACAACACCTCCATTCACGCATGTGGTGGACAGGCAGAAATACAAGCAGAACACCCATAAAATTTAAAAGAAAAACAAAAACACCTCCAGTGTCTTGTCAGGAACTGCCGTGTGGGCCAGCAAGGTGGCTTGGTAGGTAAAGTTTCTTGCCTGATGGCCTGGATTCAGTCACTGGGGTCCACATGATGGAAGGGAAGAACTGACTCCTGCAGGTTTCTCTCTGACCTCCACATGTATGCCATGACACGCACATGTAATACACACAGGCACATGTAACACACACATGTATGCCATGGCATGCACATGTAACACACAGGCACACACACACATTGGGTGAGTATCTTCTGGTAGAATCAAAGAATTATCCATAAATGCTATGACTGTTTTATTTTATTATAGTGCTTTAACAGCAAGAGTGTTTTGTCACTTGCCTCTTGTAATGTCATTGTCATTGTTTGGGTTTAGCTGCTTCTGTAGCACCTGTCTCCTTGTTGTGTTTTGTTTTGATTAGTTTTGCTGTGGGGTGGGTCTTTGAGACAGACTTTCACTGCATCATCGAGACTGGCCCTTTCATCTACTGTATTAAACAGGACAAGCAGGAGAGTCCATCTTTGTCTTAGTCCTGATTTGAGGGAGAAAAGCATTGTCTTACACAATTAAGTGAGTTTAGCTATTGGGTTAGGGGGTACATACCCTTTAGTGTATAAAATAAGTTAGCTTCGCTTTCGAAGGACGTCTTTCCCGTCTGTGGATGACGCCCCGGAGTGACAGCTAACGTCTTTCCTTTGGCGGTTTATTGTTGAACCAGTAAAGTCAATGAACCCTAAAAAAAAAAAAAAAAAAAAAAAAAAAAAAAAAAAAAAAAAAAAAAAAAAAAAAAAAAAAAAAAAAAAAAAAAAAAAAAGAAAGTTAGCTTCTCTGTTTTGTTGTTTTGTTTTTTGTCATGAACAGATTCTGAAGTTTGTTGATCTTATTTTTCTCAGTCTGTTAATATGCTAATGTTGATTTAAAAGCATCGAGCCAGCTTTACATTCCTTGGACGAGCCTTATGTAATCATAATACTTTATAGATTAATGAATTTAGTTTTCTAACATTTTTTTTCAAATTGCCAGTAGCTTTGTGTCTATTTATCTGAGAAGCTGGCGTACAGTTTTCTTGTAGTGTCTTTGTCTAGCTCTGGTTGTAGGCTAGTCTCACCTCACAGGATGAGTTGCAAAGCATTCTCTTGTCTTCCATTTTTGGAGACTGAATAACTAATATTAGTTCTTCTATGTGTGTTTGGTGGAATCATAGTGACCTGGGTTTGGGCTGTTAACTGTTAATTTAAGTAAATCTCATGTGTGGTGGAATTATTACTAAGACAGCCTCCCTCCCTCTCCTTGAAACATGCAAAACATTTCCACAAAGATTTTTAGATGTGGTGTTAATAATGTAACAGATATTTTTGATTTAGTAATCGATAATATGAAATGGACTGAGTTAAACCGTGACTAGTAGCTGTAATTCCAAATCGTCTGAAACTGAAGACCTCTTCCTCTACAGAAAGGAAAGTTTTCAGTCCCTCTTGAGTTCCTAGGCATGTCTTCAGGCTTTCCTTCCTTCTCAAAGCTCATCTGCCTCCCAATCAGCACTGTTCCCTGTGTAGCCCAGGCTGTCCTAGAGCTCACTGTCTAGACCAGGCTGACCTTGAATTCAGAGATCCCCCCCCTCCCCACTGAACTCTGTCACTCTTCATCCTGTGTCCTTGCTGTCTTTGGCAATCTCTGCTCGAAGACTTCATTTTTTTTCTTTTAAAAATTTTTTCTGGGCAGACTTGTGTGTGGAAGGTCCCTCTTGCTTCCTTTGTGCCCTTCCTGGCGGATCAGATCATGATGTGCTGATCACTTTAGCCTGAGCGGGGAGCAGAGCAGGAGAGAAAAGTCAGATGTTAACTTGGTGACTAGTCGGCAGGATTTACCAGGCACAGATGTGCTCTGCTCAGCCTCTTTTTCCTTTGCATCTCTGCTTCTGGCTCATGTTTTGTTACAGCCACAGCAGACTCCACATCCGACCCCAGCGTTAATAATTAAGCGTCTTCTAGAGAGCGTGGTGAGTGTCCTGCCGGGCGCCTATCCTTCCCACCTGCCTTATCACTGTCGGCCTGGCCTTACGTGCAAAATTAGCTCCCAACAGGTAGTAAATTAATAAAACTAAATAAATAGCAAAAAAAAAAATCACTCAACTAGAGGGGGAGAGAAAGAAAGGAAAGAAAAAAAAAAAGCAAAGAAAGGAAAGGCCAGATGCTAAGAGATATTAACCCTAGTAAAGCACATGGTTTAAGTTGGCTCAAGGTGTCGGTGGTAACCCCATGACTAGCTCTCCAGGAACTAATTTGACATTGCAAAGTGCAATGTATTGGAAGTGAAGGGACACTACAGATAGTGCACACCCACGGAAGTACAGTGGTGTGGGAAATCCTACTCAAGAATGCCCATTCGAAGGACACGGGATGTGTGAAAGCAGGCCCACTGTGGTGGGAGCCTGGGAAACTGGGCTTACATTCATATGCACATTATTAAACCAGAAGCCTTCTTCTGATGTGGAAGCTCAGGTGACTGTAAAAAGCTGTAGTGGTGTTTAAAGATGAAAGCAATAGGAAGTCCTGTCTTTGGTCTTTGAAAGGGACATACCTCCCAGGAAAAGCTGCTAAGAAGCCTAACCTCAGCACATTAGAATGGCCTGTGTTTGCCTACACTTTGGTTCCTGTTAGTGGAAGGCAGCAATCCTGATTGGTACCAATCAGTACCAGTCCTGACCTGGATCAGAGTCACTTGGTAAAAGGGGACTAAGATGTCCATCTTGTGCTGTCCCCTTCCCCTGCAGGAGCTCAGTGAGATGCTGTACACAGACCGGCCCGACTGGCAGAGTGTGATGCAGTATGTGGCCCAGATCTACAAGTACTTTGAGACATAAACAGAAGACCCGGCATCAGCAGCTGCTGCATGGCCTGCAGCTCATCCTGAAGCGCCTGCTCACTGTCCACCATGCCTGCTGTGCCCGCCATCTAGCCGTCTGGATTTCCAAGGAAGGCTTAAGCCACGTGGACCAGCACTCCACTGAGAAGCAGAGGTGGCTCCACCGTGTCCCCATCTCAGATGCAAACATGTCTGGAGCCTATGCTCAGGAATCCTTGTTCCCAATGGGAAGTTTTTAGAGAGGCAGGCCCCGCTTCTCACACAGTGGGTTCCAAACCCAGGCCCTCGTCTGTGAGACTCCAGAGTGTTGCCAGTCCCATTTGCTGCCCACACGTGGCCTACACACTAACAAACAGCACTTCAATCACCGTGTCTGTTCTTCTTCCTCCTCCTTTACTAAAACTTTGCTTTTTTTTTTTTTTCAAAACTCTGTCCTTACCAGCTGCCTGCCCACCCCCACCAATAAAACAACACTCCACAAAACAGAAAAACAAAAGCAGCTTTTGCTTCTCAGCAACCTGGAAACACACTGATTAGGGAAATAGTATGTCCAGTTCTGTGTAACTGAGAACTTAAAGGCACTGCATAGATCTCACCGTCCCTATTTGATTTCTCGCAAGTGCAAGGAGTACTTAGGTACCTTGCTGAGGGTGCACAAGAGGCCAGCTGGCTTGCTCCTTAGCCACAAGGCATGAGCGCAGCACTGGTGTCCTGGCTGATGAGATCCGTGACCATTGCACACAGACCCTTCTGCCCTGCTGTTATTTACAGCCCTATTTACACACGTCTTGGCCCAACACAGAGCTCCACACGAGTCTGACGTGTGTGGAGCAGCCTGTGATGGTGAGCTCTGCACATTTGCACAGTTCCGCAGGTTGGGAGGTGCGCCCCTTAGGATTCTGGGTGGACAGAAATATAAACATGTTTTGGCTTCAGACAGGTTTGGCCCTTGGTACTTGTTGGGCCTTTTACATGTGCCTATTGAAAGAAGCTATTAGGAGCGTAAGGGTGACTGTCCTCCAATGCCCCTTTGGTTCCCTAGGAAGCAGCACAGCCTCTCCCTGAGTACCCAAGCCAAGCGGCCCTAGACCAGTGGTTCCCAACCTTCCTAATGCTGGGAGTTCCTCATGCTGTGGTGACCTCAACCATAAAACTATTCCATTGCTACTTCATAACTGTAATTTTGCTATTGTTATGAATTGCAGTGTAAATATCTGATATATAGAATTCTGATATGTGACCCCACACAGGCTGAGAACCACTGCTCTAGAAGCATCTTTCCATTTTTCTTGGACAAATGTGCACTTCATAGCAAATGAGCACGCCCCTTTCTCTGACAGTTGGGTGCGCACAAACACCCATTACTGTTCTAAGTGCCAAATAACCCTAGACTGGTCCTTTGAGAAAGGACCACGCTCATAGCAACCCCTGCGAATGACCACCATAGCTACAATGAATCTCTGCCTGCTTGTCTGAGCCACTCTACTGGCCCAGCCCTATCCTTGGAGGACCTAGGTTCTGCCCCTCCCTCCAGTCCATTGCTCTGATAAGTAGCAGCTGGGTGCAGCAGCGCTGATTCGTAGCCTCGTGGACCACAGATTCCACCTGTAGGCTCCTCTACAGTTCTTAGCTGTGGCTCAGGGCCGATCCCCTGGGACTCCTGGGAACTGCATGCCTGACTCTCGATCAGGTGAGTTAGAATAACTGGAACAAAGCAGAGATGCAGTCTGCACATGCTCACAGTTCTCCAGAACTGATGGGCAGCCATGCAGAGAGGGAGGACACTACTCCCTGCCCCTTGTTCTCCCATTAGGAGCTCTTTCATTTCCAGGTGGAAGATGAGGGCTCAGAACCTCTTTGCTGATGAATGTGTCTCCGAAAGCTGGTAGTTGGGCTGCCTCCCATACCTGTTGTGTTGACATAATTGATGCTGTACCTCCCCCCACCAGTTGTCTCCAGTCTGCTTTGCCCAGCCATCACAGCAGGGTGGGCAGGAACGCTGTCCCGCACAACTGGGTGTCGTTTCTTCAGGGGTGATCTCTGGAGCTGTGTAGGAGAGGCCACAGTTAAGGCATGAGAGTTTGGTCTGTCTCTGGCTGTTTTCAGGGTGCTAAGAATCTGGGAGCTCTCAGCAGAGCAGCCTCCGTGTTGGTCTCCAGACACCTTACAGTGTCTGTAAGTAGAGGCACTTTGGGGCCCCAGGTCGCTGTGGACCGGCCAGCTGCATCTGTTCTTGTCCGTTTTCTGCATGGGGTTTCTCTTGACTGCTGCAGGTCTTGCCAGGGGCGTCGGAGAGGAATGGCATGCAGGTACTGCCAGGCAGAGGGTATGCATGACCGATAGAGCTCCAGTTCTCTGTCAAGGTGCCACACTACTGCATGTGGAGGTGCGGGGTCTGGGAAGATCTCCAAGTCACAAAAATGAATGTGAGAAACTGACCAGCTAAGAACAGAACCATGGCGGTGGGGCCAGGAGTGCCTTACTTTTTCTTGTTTTTGTTTGTTTGTTTGGTTGGTTGGTTGGTTTGGTTTTGGTTTTGTTATTGTTTGTTTTTGCTTTGTTTTTGGTTTTGTGAAACAGAACCTCCTGTTGCCCATGCTGGCCTTGAACTCAAGGTGCTGAGATTAGATACCACACCCAGCTTTGGTGCTTAGCTCCTGCTGTTTTCTTTGTGTCTCTGCAAGCCATCATTCAGAGGACGCTGGAGGCCTCCCTAGTCATGTTTCTTCCCATCTGCCCTCAGCCAAAGAGATCTGTAAAATGCAAGACCCTGAGAAGTTAAGACACATAGAGAAGTCTGGCTCTCAGCACTGCTTGGTGTCTGACGGCAGGTGGTAGCACTAAGGCCGCTGCCCACAGTGGCAATATTCCAAGGCGCATCCATCTTCCTAGTCCTTCTCACTTCCGCATCCATACTTGTCCTTGATTCTCATTCTTCATCCAATTGTTCCTCAGATTCTGTAGACCATACAGAATACAAGCCATGGCTAGAAGATAGAAACCCAGGTAGTGCTGCTACCTGTGGCTTCAACTATTCTGGAGATGGAGATGGGAGAATCAGTTGAGCCTGGAAATTTGGGATTAGTTGGCAGAGAGTGTGGGGCTATCCCAAAGCAATCAGCCATCTAGCGATATTGAATATTGGCCATCCTATCTTCCTGTCTCCCATGAGCACCAGCCACATGTCAGTCTCTGACCTCTATGTCCCCTGCAAACCTGTCCCTGGCTGATGGAAATGGAGAACTGAGACCCTTAGGGACAAACCCACTCACCAAATCCAGCAGTTCCTGGGTGTTCTAGTTTGAGATGCCCTACTGCTGGCACCAGTGGGAGAGAGAACCCCAGATGATTGAAAAGAAGTTTTTTCCAGCATCTGCTGAAGCCCCTGGGCATCTAGGTCCTCCGACAAGGTTGGAGTTCTGACTGGAACACCCTGAGTAGCTCACTGACTTTAACTACATTAGTTGAATGCTCTCGATATACCTGTGGCCTCCTTTCCCTCAAGAGCACACGAGACAGCACCTAGCACTGCCCAGATGTGACGTACTGTCAGAGGTGGACAGGGCTCCCAAGGGTAAGGTGTGCCGCTGTGTACGATTTCTAATAAATATATTTTGTTTCTATCTCAGTTTGATTCTTTCACCCACTGACGTTGATCAGCATTTTTTTTTTCAAAGCACCAAACTTGCTTTGAGTCAGCTTAAAGCCCTCTCCCTGCTCGTTCTTGTCACTTCGCAGACCCGTCCGCAGCTGCCTTGCGGTGGCTACAGGTTGTGGATCATCTTCCAGCACCCGGATGCTGCCAAGCTGTACAGATGTGCATAAGATGGAAGTAGGCTGCTTGGACCCTGGGAACTGCACAATGTTGTTAAAAGTTATGACAAGGTTGAAGAGACATGTAATAGAAAATGTAACAATGAGTAGACCATGACGGTGGCACTAAGCATCCGCTGGAAGCCATCATTCCTAGGCTACAGGCCACAAGGAGTACAGCCGCCCTAGAATCTTTATTTCTCTTTCCTCTCAAGTGCCTGGCCTTCTGAGGGCCTCCACAACTGCTCAAGGTAATGGTCACTGGTGAGATTTATCAAACCCTGGGTCGGCTTAGGGCTGCCACTTCCCTCTCAGCCTAAAGGGGCAGGAAATGTTGTGCCAGGAGATACCAGGCCTTGTTTGCTCAACATCTGATTGTCCTGTACCATCTTGAGTGCCCAGTGCCTTGGGCTGTGTACACGTGTGCATCCCTGCCGGCTCATGCATGAGTGGGCCTTTCACAGATGGCCAGGTCTCCATATTTGGGAATGGTCTTCATATTTGCTGGTCTCTGAGACTCATCAAACAAGTTCTGTCCTATGGATGCAGCTCTCTGCATGAATGGGGCACCAATCATGGGTGTTCCATGACTGGGCCACTTGACACGTGCACTTTACAGATGGGGGAACCTGGGCCCAGACTCCCCATGCAGCTGTCTTGGGCAGTTTCTGTTGCCACCACACAATACCACAAACTGGGCACTTTTCTAAAGAACAGAAGTTTATTTCGTTCTCAGTTCTGAAGTCTGGACCATCTAAGAGCTCAGCACTGGTGTCTGGGAAGATATTCTTGCCACATTGTGACTTCGCAAAGGATGAGAAGAGACAGAGTGAGCATGCTAACCCTAGTCCCCAACTCTTTTGAAGCCACCAAGGCCACCATGGAGAGCCTGACCCTCATGACTCAATCCCAATTACCTCCAAAAACACCACCTCCAAAACCTGCTAACGATGAACTCTGGTCATTAAGTTTCGAGCACATGAACTTTGGAAATACATTTAAGCCACCGCATCAGTGACAGAAAAGGCTCATGGGTTAGCAGAATTGAATGAATAATCAGCATGGACTGCTCTTAGCGGCCCTAAGCACAGAGCTGTGGGCCGCCAGCCGCCTTCCCTCTGCTGGGTGAAAAGGGCTTTGCTCTTAGGCTGTGTAAACTTCCATCTGAGCTCCTTGAGGGCCAAGTGCAGGTTTCTGTGCTCGTGATTCCTCAACCTAAGGGGCAGTGCTTATACCGGTCACTTGATTACTTTGTCCAGTTGCCGGTTACTCACCCTCTGACTGGGAGGTCAGTTCTGGGAATGAACACCACAGGATTCCAGCCGGTGGCCCATCTTGTGAACAATCTCTTCCAGCATTTTCCAGCTCAATGATAAGTAGGAAAAGCCTTGGGGAGAAACTTGAAACCTGACCTCCCCAAGGCCTTTTCTTTCCTTTTTCCTTTAATAGTATTACATCTGGTCTTGTGAATGAAATGACTTAAAACATTCAGGGCCTTGGAGTCTTCTGGGCTCTTTAGTTGAATTCATTTGAACTTCATTCACCTGCTTAAGTGAGATTTTTTTCTAGATCATGAAAAAGAAATCCATAAATAGATTTGCCTAGGACCCTTCAGACGACTGACCATTGGGCCCACCAGCCCTCCCATTTGTCCATCCGGGCTGCTATTTATATCCTCTGTAGTGTGGCTATTTCCCTTGTATCTGAAAAATGAGGCAAAACAGAAAGTGGGGCATGGGAAAAGTTTTCCTGCGACATGTGACTTCAGAAGGCTTGGCCACTGTCCAAGGAGGCTGGTCCTAGAAAACATCTGGCTGGAGAGGGACCTCATCCTGAGAAAGGCAAAGTCTTACCACCCGGAGGATCAGACCAGGAAACAGATGTGTCGCAGAGAGAAGGGAGATGTATCTTATTCATCCTGCCTTTCAGACTCATCTGTGCCCACAAATCCAGCTGCTTTTGTTTAGGGGAGGGAAGAGGCCTGTCTTGGGTCACCTGTGTAATCTGCAGCCATGTGCCCAAAGTGAGCATGTGGTTGTTTTGTCCCCTTCAGCAGCCCTGAGTGTGGCTCGGTGTTGGGTACACTCCTCCCTGAGTGTGACTTCAATGTTCAGAGCTTTGGGGTGTAACAGGCTGTAACTGCAGATCAGCCCCATCCAGCATTCAGCCCGTGTTGGAGAGCAGGGCTGTGAGAGGCCCCCTGAAGGAATTTTACAGATGTTCACAGTGCTCCTCAGGGGATGCTGTGTGATGCCTTTGCTGGGACTTCCTGTTCGAAAACAACAGAATCCCTACCTAGTGAGGGCTAGAAATGAACTCTCACATTTCACAGGGCCAAGTTCAGATCTTTGGAGCCCAAGGAAATGCTTCCTTGCTGGTTTTCCCGTGGGCAGGAGTTAAGGGACCACACCACTGACATGGCTGTTGGGCTGTAGGTGTTAGTATGTGTTGTTTGTTGTTGCTGTAACGAATTGATGCAAACAATACACGTGTTGTCTTGCAGTTCTGAAGGTCAGGACACAACCCAAGCAAGCAAGACTTGCTGGGTGCCATACTTTGGAACTTGAATATTTTTCAAAGGTCAATTGGTTAAAAACCTGTTAGAAACCTCTTTAAAAGGTGGAGCCTAGTGGGTGGAAGTTAAGTACTTGGGGATGTGTCCTTCCAGGAGATCCTGAGACACTGGCCCCTTTTCTGT